AAATTTTAGTGGAACTGATAAAATTGTCCATGTAGTCAATAACACATATTTGAATTTTAATAGTAGTGCGTGGGTTAGAAAACATACACTAGTGCTACAAGTAGTTTATATTTGATGGATAATAACCAGATTACATTTCATATTGGTAATGACCCGTCAATTGGTGCTAATGCTTATATGTTAGTTGATGGTAATAATACTAAGATATTTGTTTATACAGCGATGGAATGTCAAAGCACCTTTGCTACTAATAGTATTCAATCATTCAGCGGAAGTGATATTAATAATAATAGTCATTTGAATGTGAATACTGCTAATACAATAAAAAATGGAACAGGATTTATTAGTTATTATGAAAATGTTGGAGTTATTAAAAACTTGGAAATAACAAATACTGATAAAGCATTAGGTGCAATATCTTTTGATTGTGGTTTAGAAGGAACAGATACGGATATGAATGTTGGTACTATGTCTTGGGATAATGTCAGTGCTTTTAAACCATCTTATTTTTGTGACCCTGTTGTCATTAGTGGTGGTTCTTTAACAACTGAAAATATTATTACTGGTGCTTCTAATAAATTGAGTTTAGATGCTACAGAAATTGATAGTGAAACTAATGACACAATAGTAAGAAATACAAATACAGCAAACTCTACAAGATTTGTTATTCGTTTAGATACGACTTATGCTGAAAATAAAGTAGTCTTAAATAATGGTAGTAATAGTGAATTACGAGGCGATTGGACTATTGACGGTGATATGACATTTGGATTTTCAAACAAAATTAGTTTAAGACATTTAAATAGCGATGCTGTTTTGAGAACAGAAGCATTAACATCTATTGATAGTTATGTATCAGGTGTAAAGTATTTACAATTAGATGATACACAATTTACATCATTTAACGGTTTTAATTTATGTAGTAATGCACGTTTAAAAACTGAAATAGAAGATGTTGAAGACAATTGTATAGAAGCAGTTAAGAATATTAAGGTAAAACATGTATTAAAAACCATCAAACAAAGAAACACGAAATAGGATTTATAGCACAACCCTGTCAGGAATTTACACCTTCAAAATTTGGTATTGTAAATGATAAAGATGATGATCTAACAATGAGTTATGATAAAATGACAGCAGTATTATGGAGGTCTTTACAAACTATAATTAGTCGTTCATAACATTTGGAAAATGAAGTTTTTAAGCTAAAAAAAGAAAGCTCTAAATCACATAATATGTGTTTTTTTCAAAAGTAAAACTAATGATATTGATAAGACACCTCTTGATAAATTAAATGAAATTGATGATGAAGACACACATGTGAAAACACTAAATGAACAAGCGATGAAACTGGAAGAAAAAGGTATGATAAAACCTATTATAAATTACCTGCTCTCAATCTTTGTTTGTATTCATTATTCTAAATTGAGAATATCAACAATAGATTTAATATTATTGATTAGTTATTTAAAATTTAGATTGAAAATTAGTATAGAACATACTATTAACATCTTTTGAACTTAAATTTAAGAAGAAAAAAAACGAATATGGAGAATGCTTTATCGCTGTGTGATACACTTCTAAAAGTTTGTCCTTATCAACTACCGCTGCGTTTTCTTCAATAAAACTCATTAACTCCGATATATTATTTAACCTAACAATGTATAATGAACTGGCATTGGCACGAATTATATTGGCGACTGTTTTATATTTTTGAAGACTACATATGCAAGAAATGGCGTCATGTCTGCCTCTTGTCAAAAGTCCGTGTAATATTTTTGAATATCTTAAAAATTTAGGGTCATCACTGAAATCATCAATGCAAATTAATATTGAGTATAATTTCTTCACTTTATTATCTTTCATGTAGTGAATTACCTTCCTTTGTGTATTAGCATTATTTTCTAATTCTTCCGGATGATATTCTTGAAAGTATACTTGTTCTTTTGTATCATCTACTTTCATTTCTTCTCTTTGGTATTTTTTACTTCAACAAAAGTAGGGTCATTATGAACGGACGGACTAAATATAAAAACATGACTAAAACAATTCCTATATACATTTAGTATTAAACTTTGAATGAGGACACTCTTTCCTCCTGTCGAACTCGCAACAATAATACTACGAAATGGAATGCTTGGAACGTGCGGGTATTTAGATTGTTTATATTCATATTCAGTGATGTTTATTGGTTTTAATTGGAACATCAGGCATAATAAAGTAATATTAAAGATATTTAGAAAATATGTTATATTTATTATTGAATGGAACATCTTTTTTTGATGATATGATGGTGGCGAATATCAATGAAAAATGGAACAGGCCTTCCATTGCTTCAATCATAAGCATTGAAGATAATTAGATTGAATTAGTTTGTCTCCCGCTTGCGTTGCCCAGTGTGAAGAGCCCCATTACCCCACGGAGAAGAGACGATGGCGAACCCCGAGTATTCTAACATGCATGAAACAATAAAATGAATTTTATTAATTTATGTTTTTTCTTATTATTTAATATGGAAAGGAGTTATTCGGATTATATCAATATAATAGATGAAGTAGAGAAAGTAGAACAAGTTGTAATAACTGAAAATAAAGCTAAAATTATTGTTGTTATTCATTAGAATTAATTAAGGTAGGAATTCAAGATCAAAAATATAAATGTAAATGTTAAAATAAATGGGAAGAAAGAAAAACAAAAAGAATAAGACGGAAACAACTATTTCATCAACAGATGAAGACAGCGAAGAAGTTATTAACCAGACAGCAGTTATTGAGTTCCCTTGTCCAATGTGTAAAAGGATGTTAGAACTTAAAAATGAGTTAGAAATACAAAAGAAGGGAAGTTGTAAATGTTCTTGTGTCTCTATCGGGTTTAAGGTAAGTAAAACTGATTTAAAAAAATGAATATTGATAAAAGTAAAGACGGCGATATTGACTTGGAGACAGATGCGCATAATATTGCTATACGCTTTGGGAGGGATGTCACCCCTTCCGATAATGGTGAGAATTAAACACAGGCAACCATACGAGAAATGATGAAAATAATAATTAAATTATTTGTATTACTATTTATAATGCAAGATGTTATTGATATTATCAAATTTATTGGTACAAATAGATTGAAATTGAATAACTTGATTGAGACATATAATGAAAATGATATATTAAACAAAGCTTGATTGTGCTGATTTATTTGAACAATGATATTAACATGTTATTGTCAAAGAATATATTCATATACTTTAAAATGTATTGCTAATTTTGATAATAAAACTACTATTCAGTTTTATGAAATCACATTGAGAAAGTTAAATAATATTTCTACGAATAGTAACATTAATGTTGTTAATGTTATTGAATGTATTAAGTGCTTAATAATATATATTACTGATAATATTGAAAAGTTTCATAAATATTCAAAATTTAGAAAATGTATTATTTGTAACTTAATTGGTAAATTGAATACTAACTTAACGAGTTATACAATAACTAATTTTGAATTGACTTACAATGATATATGAAATGTTTGTGTAATATACAAGTTTAGTTTCAAATGTTTATTTTATAATCTAGTATATATTTACATGGATGAAGGATTAGATAAGATTGTTAAAAAACCTGAACAAGGTTTTGGAACAGAAAAATAATATTTTACAAATCTTACAAGAAATGGAGAAGAAGAAACCATTAACAAACAGTTATCAAAGTAAAGAAGTAGATAGAACCAGTGGCGAATATAGAAACAAAATATTAATTTAAACAAACTCAATAACAAAGAGATGGCGTTTTGTCAAATTGGCTGTGATGAAGATACAGGGGTTTATTCCTAAATTTTAGTATCTAAATAATTCTGATAATATGAAGTTATTAGAATTATTTCCTGGCACTGGTTCAGCTGGAATTGTAGCGAGCGGTGCTGTAAATCCAACATGGTGCTATTTCTAGACACGAAGCATGGAAAAGCACTTCCGCATGTTAAATCAACAACAGACGAAGACCGCAAATAGGCATGGTGGAAAGAAAATCTGTGCATGGTGGAAAGAAAAGACGTGCATGGTGGAAAGAACATACGTGCATGGTGGAAATGCTGTCTTTTACAGGGTTTCCACCGACGGTGGAAGCAAAAACGCACATGGTGGAAGTGAAATTATGTTTGTATCACGATGCAAAGTGATTGAAGAACAGTAATAGTCCATAATGTTTAATCATACTATATATATTTATAACATGTAAAATCGTATATGTTATAACTATACTTTACCTATGGCTTATAAATATTGTAATATGTTGCTTTTTCTTAATTTGCTTATCTCTTTCAAAGTGTGTTGTTTGAACTTGGTATGCGTCTTCAGTTTTTTCGTGATTTGACTGTTTGTTTCTATTTTGTTTGCCACTCTTCTGATATTTTTGTTGGTATGGTGCTTTGTTTTTTGTTGGTGTGTGTTTTTGAGTTTGGGTTCTTTGATGGTTTTGAGTTTTGCTGTTTTGTTGGTACGCTTGTTTGATTTAATGAATGTTGTATGCGTTGATTAAATATTTTGGTTGGGGTTGTTCTATTTTTTGAGTTGCTTGGTGGTTCTCATTTTGTTTTCTGTGGATTGCGTGTATTTTTGTTTATGCTGTTTGATTATTTGGGTTTGATGTTAGAAGTGCCGTTGTACATATTTTTTAGGGGAGGGGGAGGAGGGGAGGGGAGGGAGGGGAGGAGGGGAGGGGAGGGGAGGGGAGGGAGGGGAGGGGAGGGAGGGGAGGGAGGGAGGGAGGGAGGGAGGGGGGGGGGAGGGAGGGAGGGAGGGCGGGAGGGAGGGAGGGAGGGAGGGAGGGGTAACACTTGCACGCTTGGGGGTGTTTGCGAGTCCGCCAAATCTTCTCGAAGACTGCCGACACTCGAAAATAAACTAGATTGAACCGCAAACAAGCACACCCAAATCATCTGAAACGGACATAGCTGCGCTGGATGCCCGTTAGATACATTGCATTCTGTGCGACTGAGCACCTTTTCTCCAACGAACAACTTTGGTCATTTCTTTATGTACACCGCGTTCATGAAATTGGCCTCGATGGCACCAGTGACAGCGCAGATTCGATCCAAGGCCCATATGTGCTGGATCCAGGCGAGATCTTCCGGGTCAGACTCGTTGTAGTTGTGTCCGAAACCTGAGAGAAAGGGGCACGCACGAGGCGCTCCACTGTCATGTCAGAATGTTGTTTGATTGGGCTGTTCGAGGCTTCTTGCCTTCGACAAGTCTCTTGGTTTCTCGTCCAACACCAGTAATCTCCTGCAAAGTGAGGGGGCGGAAGTTTCAAGAAAGAAGGGCCTAGAGGAACAAGGCCTCTGTTCCGCGCTTTGATTTTGGCAGCGGATCTCGCTTGGTTTCTTTCACTCTCCTCCTCCAATCTTCTTCTCTCCTCTTCCCTCCTCTCTCCTCTCTCCTCTTCTCTCTTCTTCTCTTTTCTCTCCGCATCCTCCTCTCTCCTTCCTTCGCTCCTCTTCTCTCCTCTCTTCTTCTCTCCTTTATTCTCTCCTCTCTTCTCTCCTGTCTTCTCTCTTCTCCTCCCTTCTTTTCTTTCTTTTTCTCCCTCTTGTCGCCTCTCTTCTCTCCTCTCTTCTCCTCCTCTTCTCTCCTCTCCTCTGTCCTCTTCCCTCCTCTCTTCCCTCTTCTCTTCTCTCCCTCTTCTCTCCTCTCTTCTCTCCTCTTCCCTCCTCTCTTCCCTCTTCTCTTCTCTCCCTCTTCTCTCCTCTCTTCTCTCCTCTTCTCTCCTCTCTGCTCTCGTCTTCTTCTTCTCTCCTCTCCTCTCTCTTCTCTGCTCTTCTCTTCTTTCTTCTCTCCTCTCTTCCCTCCCCTCTTTTCTTCTGCTCTTTCCTCCTCTCTCTTTTCTCTCTTCTCTTTCCTCCGCTCTACTTGCCTCGCATCTCTCCTCGTATCCCCGGCTGTTTTCCTACTGTCATGCGCCCGAGGTTTGCAGGACCAGGCGATCGTACTGAACTCTCATTTCCAATACCATCTATTCCGCCAATGATGCGACCGTGATCCGAAACCGCCACCAGCTAGCTTACAGCACGCTCCAACGCCACTTTCTCCCGCGAATACAAGCATTTCGCGCAAATCTCTACACTCATCCCAAGCGCGCTCTGCCCTACTCCTCTCCTCTCTACCCTACTCTTGTCTCTGTTCTCTGTTCTACTCTTCTCTACTCTTCTCTGCTCTACTCTTCTCTATACTTTCCGTAGCTCGGAAGCACGCTCCACAGCGCCCAACAGGCGCAACAGCATGCTGGTAGCCAGAGCGGACACAAGGTCAGGTGACGTTTCTTGGTTCATTGGCAGCGCGTGCCGCAACCCCAGTCCAAACCATAACGAGGCAACACCTACATCCCAGCCGCGAGCCACACATTTTTCTTTGGAGAAAATCAATGAAGCAAGCCACAAAACTGAGGACCCTTCCACTCGAACAGTGTAGGAAATCTCAAACCCATTTGTGGCCCAAACTGGCTACTTTCCTTCAAACATGCCCCGTTTCAGTGTTCCAACATCACCCCGCTCCTGCCTTCAAACATAGGGTACAAAATGCCCGCATAAACGCATTGCATCCGCTTCTCAAAGCGCGCGTCCAGCACGTCTTTGATCTCCTGGCTTCGCACAGCCTCGAATGGCGACAAGGATTCCTTGGCAGGCACCACAGGCTCGGAATGAACGATCCCCATGTGGTCTGTGCGCCACTTGGCTGGCATATGATGCCAAAGGTTGTTCATCACTGCTAGCTGTGCTGGCGTCCGCTGCAGGAAATTTGGCCCAATCCAATCGGTGATGACGAACACACCTGAGGGCTTCAAGGCCTTGGAGATCTCTTCAGCAACGTGTTCGATGCGCTCGAAGTGATGATATGCGTGTTGAATGTAAATCACATCAAACGCCCCTTCCTCCAAATGGATCTCATTCACATCCATGACATGGTAGGTTACAGGAATCTCTGGGTTTGGCTGAAACTCCAAAAACTTTTGATACATCCCCTCTGCAGTGTCGTATGCCTCGATACTGTCCACCCCGAATGATTTCAGCATTGGGTACTCGCCCGCCATGGGCCCGCACCCCAGCGTCAATCCACGCCTCTTTCCAGACTTTTCCCCAAGCAATGAGCGTGCCAGGGTTCCCACATCTGCAACTTTATGGAGCTCATGCTGAAAATGTTGGATGCTTGTCCAGGAAATTCGCCATTGCAAGCGATCATCATGCTTTCCCCAGAACGCAGCCTCCTCTTGCGCTTTGTGCTCGGAAGCCACACTTTGGCTTAACAAAGAATTCTCGCCTGGTTGGAGGCGCCGCCCATTAAGCATGCGCTTTGTGTACACTGCGTTCATGAAAGTGGGCTCGACGGCTCCGGTTTCAGCTGTGAGTCGATCCAGTGTCCACATCTGCTGGATCCAGGCCAAATCCACCGGGTCAGACTCGTTGTAGTTGTGGCCAAAGCCTTTCGCAAAGCAGAGCTAAACCCCCGCCCCCCACACCCAGCAACTGCACTCCTGGCTATATTCTACGCCACCTCTACTCCAGGCTAGTTCCCAACAGCAACTGTCGTTTTTAAGTTTCTAGGGCTGGTGTTGAGTTGCGCCGTGGGACTCGGACCCAGGAAGCACCCGGAGCCGGCTGGACTGGCACCATGTTGCCGTTGGGTTGCAAGGCTGGGCTAGTTTTTCACCAGATAGATGAAAGCCATGGGGGTTCTAACTTGAAGTGAGGAAGGAGTCGGTGTGACTCAAAACTCCGGCCGGGTGCTGTTGCAGGGTGCTGTTGCAGGGTGCTGTTGCAGGGTGCTGTTGCAGGGTGCTGTTGCAGGGTGCTGTTGCAGGGTGCTGTTGCAGGGTGCCGTTGCAGGGTGCTGCTGCAGGCCGTGACTCAGATGCTGCTGCAGGCTGTGCCTCAAGAAGATGCGCAGGGAGCTGTTGCAGGGCGCTGCTGCGGGCCATGCATCAAAGTGGCGCAGGGTGCTGTTGCAGGGTGCTGTTGCCTGTTGCAGGGTGCTGTTGCAGGGTGCTGCTGCAGGCCGTGACTCAGATGCTGCTGCAGGCTGTGCCTCAAGAAGTTGCGCAGGGAGCTGTTGCAGGGCGCTGCTGCGGGCCATGCATCAAAGTGGCGCAGGGTGCTGGTGCAGGGTGCTGCTGCAGGCCGTGACTCAGATTTGCGCATGGCGCAGTTGCAAGGTGCTGCTGCTGGCTGTCGCTCAGCGTTGCGCGTGCCCCCGTGACTCACAGTTGCGCACGGCGCTGTTGCAGGGTGCTGCTGCTGGCTGTACCTCAGACTTGCGCAGGGGCCTGCTGCTGAGTTGCGCAGGCTGCTGTTGCAGGGCGCTGCTGCAGGCTGTGACTCGGATGCTGCTGCAGGCTGTGCCTCAAGAAGTTGCGCAGGGAGCTGTTGCAGGGCGCTGCTGCGGGCCATGCAAAGTGGCGCAGGGTGCTGGTGCAGGGTGCTGCTGCAGGCCGTGACTCAGATTTGTGCATGGCGCAGTTGCAAGGTGCTGCTGCTGGCTGTCGCTCAGAGTTGCGCGTGCCCCCGTGACTCACAGTTGCGCACGGCGCTGTTGCAGGGTGCTGCTGCTGGCTGTACCTCAGAATTGCACAGGGGCCTGCTGCTGAGTTGCGCAGGCTGCTGTTGCAGGGCGCTGCTGCAGGCTGTACCTCGGATGCTGCTGCAGGCTGTGCCCCAGACTTTGCGCAGGGAGCTGTTGCAGGGCGCTGCTGCGGGCCATGCATCAAGGTGGCGCAGGGCGCTGGTGCAGGGTGCTGCTGCAGGCCGTGACTCAGATTTGCGCATGGCGCAGTTGCAAGGTGCTGCTGCTGGCTGTCGCTCAGAGTTGCGCGTGCCCCCGTGACTCACGGTCACGCAGGCGCTGTTGCAGGGCGCTGCTGCAAGTGTTGCAGGCTCAGAGTTACGCAGGGCGCTGTTGCAGGGTGCTGTCACAGGCCGTGACTCAGTCAGAGTTGCGCAGGGTGCTGTTGCAGGGCGCTGCGGGCCGTAACTCAGAGTCGCGCAGGGTGCTGTTGTGCTGCTGCAGGCCGTGACTTAGACACCTGTCCAAGTGTATTAAGTTGCACCTGGCGGAGTTTTGGTGGGTTTGCTTTACACGCCGCCTTGAATGGTATGAAAGGCCGCGGCGGGTTGCTGCTGCGGGCTGCTGCTGTGGGCTGCTGCTGCAGGGCGCTTTGCCTTGCAACGCGCAGCGGCGGATTTTCTTACTGCGCCGCCTTGCATATGGCTTGAAAAACGAGGAATGCGATTGAGACACTGCGGGTTGCTGCTGCAGGTTGCTGCTAGCTGCTGCTTTGTTGCCGGAACATACTGTTGTGTATTCTTGCGGCGCAGTCGCCTGGTGCGAATTGACACTGCTCGCAAGAAAAAACGCTATGTTTTGAGATGGATACCTGTGCGGTACGCTGCCGGAAAAAACATGTTGTGTATTTGGGCGGTAGAATTGCTTGATGCTCGTTCGTCTCTGCCTGTTCTGCGTAAAAAAATGAAGCGTTATATTTTTTCAGGGCCAGGCTCTTGGTACGCTTAGCTGCTGCTATGTTGCCGGGAAAATATTGTTGTGTGCTTCGGCGGTAGGACTGCCTAATGCTCATTGGCCCCTGCGTGTTCTGCGCATTTGTTTTGAGGCACAGGCCCGTGGTGTGTTTTGTAGCTGCTGCTTTGTTGTCGGAAAATATTGCTGCAAATTTTGCGGCGCAATTGCCTGATGCGAATGATCACTGTTCGCGAGAAATATATAGCGCTATGTTTTTATGGAGACTTGCGTGGTATGCTGCTGCTTTGTTGCCGGAGAATACTGCTGTGTATTTTGGCGGTCGAATTGCCTGATGCCAATTCGTCCCTGCTTGTTCTGCGTAACGAAAAAAAACGTTGTGCCTTTTCAGGGACAGGCCGTTGGCATGCTGTGTAGATGCTGCTTTGTTGCCGGGAAATACTGTTGTGTACCTTTGCGGAAAAACTGTTTGATGCCAATGACTACTGTCTGCAACCTGGAACGTTGCTTCCCTATGAGTTTGGGGGCAGCTTAAGCCAAGAACGAACGGTGAGAAGACATGCGGGCGCAAGCCCTAGAATGAACAGATGTCAGAAAAGAAGGCTCCAAAACCCCAAATAGTCAAAGGAAGTTTAGACGGAACTTCCGTGTTACGGCGAATAATTGTAAGCTAGCTCTCTGGAGACAGATGACACGAGAAAAAATGCGCGCGCACATTTTGGCGGGAGAATAGAAACGCGCAAAAAGCGTGGCCCTGTGCGTGAATTGGCGTCTCCGGAGATGTGAAATTGCCTGTTCGCAGCGTCTCGTCAGAGCGGTCTCGGAGCGGGTTCGGAGCATGGCGCCGGGCCCATTGGCACGGCAACGCAGAGGTTTCGCAAGGCTTGAATTGTGTGGCAGGCGCAGCATTTTGGCAAGGTCGGGCGCAGATTTCGTGGCAGGCGCAGCATTTTCCAAGAAGGAATAAGCCCGCGAGAAAAATGTGCGTGCGTGTGGTGGGAGAATAGAAGCGCGCAAAAAGCGTGGCCCTGTGCGTGAACTGGCGTCTCCGGAAAAGCGGTGCAGATTTCGTGGCAGGCGCAGCACTTTTGCAAAGTCAAGCTTTCCCAAGGTTTGAATTGCGTGACAAGCGCAGCGTTTTGGCAAGGTCGAGTACAAATTTCGTGGCCGGCGCAGCACTTTCAAAAGGTCAGGTTCGAATTGCGTGGCAGGCGCAGCACTTTCGCAAGGTCAAGAGATTTCGTGGCAGGCGCAGGACTTTCGCAAGGTCAAGCACAGATTTCGTGGCAGGCGCAACACTTTCGCAAGGTCAAGTACAGGGGCAGCACTTTCGCAAGATAGATCGATAGATAGATCGATAGATAGATAGATAGATAGATAGATTGACAGATAAAAAAAAGAGAGGTAGATAGATAGATAGATAGATAGGTAGATAAAGAGATCACTAGATAGATAGATAGATAAACTAGAGGACGATTGGCCCGAAAGCATTTTTCCCCAGGTGCTCATCCAGCCGCGGAGATACGTTTTTACATCGCTGCGGCGAGCGTGTCCGCGCGCGGCGATGCTCAATGCGTATGGTCACATGAGAGCTCCATCTCATCGTCCTACGAGAGGAAACATGGCAGTGCTCGATCCCACATATTTACATCCGTTAAAACAAGAAGAGTAAAGCTCGTAAAGCTCGAAACGAATTAAGCAAAAGGAAGAGCAATCAATAGCAAAGCTTACACGACGGCCACAGTTTCTGCAAAGCACGCTCGCGCAACTTAGCTCTGTGCAAGATGGCTCCGCGCAGCTTGGCTCTGTGAAAGTTGGGTCTACGCAAGCTACTTTTCGCGAGTGGCTCTGCGCAACTGGCTCTGTGCAAGTTGGCTCTGCGCGAGTCTGCTCGGCGCAATGCGCTTTGCACGAACTGCGCCGCGCGATTTCTCACGAAAGTGGTCTGCGCAAGCTGCATCGTTCCAGGCTGCTGCGCGCAAGTTGCTCTCTGCAAGCTGCTGCACGCAAGTGCTCTTATGCAAGTTGCTCTGCGCAAGTGCTCTGAGCTGCTGCGCCAGTTGCTCCGTGCAAGCGCTTTGCGCATGTGCTCTGTGCAAGTTGGTCTGTGCAAGTTGCTCTGTCCCGCAAGTGCGTGCAAGGTGCGCAAGTTGCTCTGCGCCAGTTGCTCTTAGCAAGTTGCTGACCGCGAGCTGTGGGAATGTACTTCGCGTACATTTTTGCTTAAAAGTTGTGATTTTCCAGCCGGAGCTGCGGGAGTGTGCTCCGCGTACTACGTTTGTACTTAAAAGTTGCGATTTTCCAGCCGGAGCTGCGGGAGCACGCTCCGCATACTACGTCTGTACTTAAAAGTTGCGATTTTCCAGCCGGAGCTGCAGGAGCACGCTCCGCGTACTACGTTTGTACTTAAAAGCTGCGATTTTCAAGCCGGAGCTGCCGCGGACCAGGGGGGAATCGAACCCGGGACCGCGGGATTGCGAAAGCAGGCGCGCACACCACGAGACAACTTCCAAAAGCCGTTTCGCGAGCAAGAAAATCGCACGGCGCCACAGCGAGAGCGCTTCGACACGCACGATCTCCGCAGAGGGTTCGCCGGGCTCAAGACAGATGCGCACGGCGCCACAGCGAGAGCGCTTCGACACGCACGATCCCCGCAGAGGGTTCATCGGGCTCAAGACAAATTCGCACGGCGCCACAGCGAGAGCGCTTCGACACGCACGATCTCCGCAGAGGGTTCGCCAAGGTCAAGACAAATTCGCACGGCGCCACAGCGAGAGCGCTTCGACACGCACGATCTCCGCAGAGGGTTCGCCGCGCTCAAGACAAATTCGCACGGCGCCACAGCGAGAGCGCTTCGACACGCACGATCTCCGCAGAGGGTTCGCCAAGGTCAAGACAAATTCGCACGGCGCCACAGCGAGAGCGCTTCGACACGCACGATCTCCGCAGAG